TTGGTGGGGGAGGGCGGTCTGGGGCGCAATGGAGAAAGAAAGAACTCCTCATGGCCACTTACTGTAAGTCCATCCCCTTGTGGTTACTGGGTCTGCCTCATGTTGCCAGAGGGCCTTCCATTTGAACCTCCTTAAGCTGCCTCGTGTTCCTAGGTTGGGTGTTAGAAAATGCCTGGCCTGGGCACCTGGGCGGCTCAGTGGATTAAGCCTCTGCCTTCAGCTCAGGTCATGATCTCAGAGTTCTGGGATTGAGTCCCACATCGGGCTCTCTGCTTGGCGGGGAGCCTGCTTCTTCCTCTCTCTCTCTCTCTCTCTGTGCCTACTCGTGATCTCTCTCTGTCAAATAAATAAAATCTTCAAAAAAAAAAAAAAAAAAAGAAAATGCCTGGCCTGAGTTGCCTTCTCCTGGGATGGAGGATGGAATGTAAGATACCTTGAAGTTGTACTGTTCCTCCAGTCCTGGGATCCTAAATGAATTCACCTTCTTGGGAGCCTGGTGGTTCGGTCGGTTAAGCATCTGCCTTCGGCTCAGGTCATGATCCCAGGGTCCCAGGATCGAGTCTTGCATCTGGCTCCCTGTTCAGTGGGGAGCCTGCTTTTCCTTCTATGCTATCGCTCTCTGATGAATAAATAAATAAGATCTTTTAAAAAACAAACTCACTTTAATTTTTTTTTTAACCACCCTTCATAGTTTTCTCTGGATGCTCTCCTGTTTCATTTCTAGGGTTGATAGTTGTGCTTAGCAGGAGGGAACAGTGAGAAACGGGTCTCTGCTCTCTTGTTGTGACTGGAAAACTCTATTTTTGAACCATTAACACCTCTCAGGGCTGACCTCAGACCCAAGCTCCTGTTAATTCTTCCACCATCCTTGCTACATTGGTCTGTCCTTGAAGGTGGGCTTCTGTCAACAATCCTTCACCGTTTCCCATCTTTTATATATCTTCAACCCTGGCTTCTGTGAACTCTTCTACCATCCACACCTACCTGGTCCACAACTCAAAACCATGCGTCTCTAACTCGACCACCATCAGTGGCATATTGTCTAGAATTATGCCATTTGATATGGTAGACATGAACCACATGTGGTTATGGAATACTTAAAATGAAACTAGTGAGATTGAGAATTGAATTTTAAATGTTATTTATTTGAATTAACTAAACATTTATTTTATTTTTTAAAAAGATTTTATTTATTTATTTGACAGAGAGAGAGAGAGAGAGAGAGATCACAAGTAGACAGAACAGCAGGCAATGAGAGAGAGAGAAGCAGGCTTCCTGCTGAGCAGAGAGCCCGATGCGGGACTCCATCCCAGGACCCTGAGATCATGACCAGAGCTGAAGGCAGAGGCTTAACCCACTAAACCACAGGCACCCTTAACTAAACATTTAGTTTAGTGGCTCAGTGGGTTAAGCCTCTGCCTTCAGCTTAGGTCGTGGTCGCTGGGTCCTGGGATCGAGCCCCGCATCGGGCTCTCTGCTCCTCGGGGAGCCTGCTTCCCCCTCTCTCTCTGCCTGCCTCTCTGCCTGCTTGTGATCTCTCTCTCTGTCAAATGGATAAATAAAATCTTTTAAAAATAAAATAAAATAGATACTCAATTCAGTTATCGGAAAACTTTTCAAGTATGTTTGGACGAATTTGTGAATATTAATCTATGTTTTCAAATTTAAATGTTATGAAATCTAAATACAAATCAAGTATTTCTGGTGGAAATTTAGTATTCAAACTGAGGCATATTGTTAAGTGTAAAATACACATCTGATTTCGCAGACTTATTTACAACAAAAAGGATGCCAAATATCTCATCGGCAGTTTTAAAAACTGATTACAAGTCGAAATGATGTTTTGGATATGTAGTTTAAATAAAATACATCATGACATTTCGTTTGTTTCTTTTTCTTCCTAATGTGTCACCTGTCTGCAGCCCCTCATGCTGTTTCCTCCTCCCCTTCCACTTGAGTTGGACATGGAGGCTTGTTGTTTTTCATCAAAGCAATTTAGATTCTCCAGGCAACAGAGAAAGGCTTCATTCTTATGGATATAATTTGGTACAGCAAAGTTATTTCTGCATAGTGACAGGGATGTTCACATTTCATTGGCCATGGAAACTAAAGCCCGCCTCCCCCACGGAGTCATTGGCCAGCTGCATCCTCTGTCCAGAGCAGCCCCAGGCTTTGCCCCCACCCCTCACACAGCATCAGGTATCTACACCCCCTCAGACGGGCCTTTCCCCTCCCTGCATTGGACAATAGGGACTTCTGGTTTACAGACCTAGCAGCCTTATTTGAGTGGGGAGGCCAGAGCCTCCTATGCTCAGCCATTCCCTAACTGCGCTTTCTGTCTACAGCTTCTCAGGTGTCCCTTTGGCTGGCTCATTTCTCATGGCATTGGTACTCAGCACATAGCAACAGGAGCTTCACCTTAGTAACAGGCTGCTGCTTCAGCTCATTGGCCACCAGGAACTAGACCCTACGTCTCTTACACAGCCATTGGCCAGCTGTACCATTTATCTACAACCCAAAGACTTGGTCTAGATTCAAATTGCTGGCTTCTGTTAACTCTTCCGCCACCACTGCTCATCGAGCTGGCCCTTGAACTTGGTCATTTGTTATCTAATCCACCACCAACGACCTTCTTGTCAAAATCTAAACTCTGGGCCCCTTTTAACATTTCTACCTCCTCTGGACCAATTTCTAACCCCATCTAATATTGTTCTAGTCTGACTTAGAGCTCTGATAACTTTCAACCATTAGTGCTTTTCTGACATGGTTTAGCCTTCAGCCTTCAATTAATTATTCCTCCACCAATGCCCCTTTGATCCGAAGCTTCAATTCAGGTCTGTTAAATATTCCACCATCAGTGTATACCAGGACTGATCTCAAACGTGACCTCTGAACCCTTCCAACATTAATGACCTTGATAAAGCCTACCTCATAAAGACCACCAGGGTCCCATCCATAGTCTTGACATTAATGGGCCTATTAACTTGCTGCTGCAAGGGAGACCACACACCATAAGGACTGCGAGGGAATCTCACCTAGGGCAGACAACTTGTTCAAGTTTGTCTGGGACTTTCCTGGTTTCAGCATTGATTGTCCCTTGGCCCAGTAAATCCCTCAGTTTTAGGCAAGCAAGGATGGTCGATCACCTTAGACTTTGCAAACAAAGGAGGAAATGGGATTACTATAGGGTTTTGGGAAAGAGTTGAGTTAAGTTAAACCTTAAATGAGGAACACCTGGGCGGTCAGCTCAGGTCATGATTTGGGGTCCTGGGCTCGAGCCCCACTTCAGGCTCTCTGTTCAGCAGGGAAGCCTGCTTCGCCCTCTGCCTGCCACTAAACCTGCATGTGCCTGTACACTCTCCCTCTGACAAGTAAGTAAATAAAACCTTAAAAAAAATTTTCAGTGAAGCAGGGTTTTGATTAGCCCAAAGCAAAGCAAGTTGGTATATAAAAGAGTCAATGTTAAGTCTGGACTGTGAAATGGATTCAGGGGCCTTTTTATTTGGAAACACTTAAGTAAAAATATATATGACATGTTCACTCCAGATGCCCCTTATTTGAGCCTCTGAAGCTGGGCTGGAAATTGAGGTTGCTCCTCTATGTCAAAGTGACTTGGATCCTCCAGGCAGAGTAGGATGTTTTATTCTTACTGATATAATTTCAAATAGCAAAGTTTCTGATAGTCTATGATTTTAGAGAAGTTTTCTTAGCAGGACCAGGACTAGGGTGAGTCACCTCCAAACGCAAAATTTAAGGGGGCATGAAAAAAAACTCAGTAATCAAGATAAATATCATTCAGTGTAATGTTTTCTTTTTTTAAAAATTAATTAGTTAGAGAGAGCACAAGCAGGGGGAGCGGCAGGCAGAGGGAGAAGGAGAAGCAGGTTCCCTGCTGAGCAAAGAGCCCAGTATAGGGTTTGATCCCAGACCCTGGGATCATGACCGGCTTAACTGACTGAGCCAGCCAGGTGCCCCAGTGCAATGTTTTCAAAAGTCAAAATTAATGCAAAAATCCATGATGAACAAAATACCAAAACTTTAAATGTTTATATTGTTATCTATTGCTGCACAACCAATTACTCTTAAACGTAAAGGTTTAAACAACAAACATTTATTATCTCACAGTGTCTGTGGGGTTAAGAACTTGGGAGAGGCTTGGGTTCAAGATTCTGTTTCAGGGTCTCTAACTGAGGTTATAGTTAAAGTTGTTGCCTGGGGCTGTAGTCCTTGAGGCTGGAGTCTGGCTCATTCATATGGCTATAGGCTAGAGGCCTCAGTTCCTCACTGGTTACTGGTAGGTGTGCTTGGCATACGGGCCTCTCCAAAGGCTGCCTGCCTTAGTGTCATTATGACACAGCAGCTGGTTTCTCCCAGAATGAGTGATATGAGGGATGAAGAGAGACAGAGAGAGAAAGAGAAAGAGAGAACACATGGAAGCCCCAGTCTTTTATAGTCTGTTCTCCGAGGTGACAAACCCATCTCTTCTGAATTGGAACCCTGGGCCTCCATTAACAATTCCCTGTCTCTACCTTAGGAAAATACGAACTTTCAACATCCTCAATCTCCCTGGTTTGATCTAAAAACATCTGTTAATGATTTTGCCAGAAATCACCCTCTTGTTTTACTGACCATAAGCCCAGCCTCGGGAGCAATCTTCTACCATGAATGAACTTGTACATTTGATGGTCCTCAGGGCCAGTTCTTGAACTTGGGCCTCTGTTATCCTTCAGACATAATTTCCTCTCAGGTTTGAGCTGGAACCCAGTCATCTGTGACCTATGTCTGTTTTGGAGGTCTAATCCAAAGGACATTGATGGTAGAAAAGTCAACCTTGGTCCAATAGTTGAGATACAGACCAGAGAGGTATTGATAGTGGAAAATTAACAAATGCCTACTCTCTCAGTCTACAAAAAGGGGCACATATGGTAAATGAATTAACAGCATCTTGGATTCATGGTCAAAATACAGAGATACTAATGATGAAATGATTAATAGAGCACATGAATTTAGATCAAGAGTGCAACAAGGTGTTGGTAGAGTTGAAAAAGATCCAGGTTTGAGATCAGCCCAGGAGGCACTGATGGTAGAAGTTAGCACAGTCCAGGATCTGAGATGTTGCCCAAAAGTCATGACAAGAATATTTTGGAAATTTCTGTAGAAGTGTGTGTGCTACAATAATATTCTCACATTTGCTACTCTTTCTTCCACTCAGTTCACAAATACTGAGAGGGTGACACTCTAACTCTCCTGATTGTTGTGCTGAGACCCAGGCAGAGGGTCTGAATGTTCCTAGGGGACCCAGCAATCCATGCCCAAGCTTAGCTAGGGCCTACCTGTTGTGTCTGAAATGCCTTCAACAGGGCAAAGAGCCTTCTACCTCTTGTCAGAGAAGGCCTGCAGGAAGGGTATATGTAGGAGTAGGTTTTGAAGAATGTTTAGATTAGGAGTTCGGAGGTGAAGAACACGTAGAATTCTCTCTTCTCTCCCAAGAGTACATAGTAGCTCCTAAAGTCCCATGTAAGAGAGGTTATGAGGCTGCAAACTGGTTGACAGGAGGAGTTAGGGGCGTGTTTCCGACATGTATTTTCGGGGACAGTATGCTTACTATGCTTTTAAAATATTTTTCTATTGGCTATTTGCTTAAAAATATTAGTTGTCTATATCAAAGGTTATTATTATTATTATTATTATTTCTAGCCACTATCATTTTAGTGGGCGTTAATGGCAGTAATGGAGACTGAGGTGGTTTCAATTCCCTTCTACACCAATTCCAGCACATCAAAATAATGTATCACTATGATTCCTCCCCACTCTTCTCCAGTGGTATCACCCAGGAGGGGATCAACAATAACCTGACTTCCCCCACCTCTTCCCAGGAGTATCTCCAAGGAGAAAACTGTACCACACCGACTCCTTCCCTCTCCTGCCCCGTGGGATCTGCCGGGGGGGGGGGGGGGGGGGAGACTGTGCCATTTTAATTTCTCCTTTCCTCCGAGTGACATCTTCCCGGAGGAAACTAATCCTGTTCTTTCTCCTCTCCCCAGTGGTGTCTCCCTTAGAGATAAGGTCACATCTCCCCTGCCCCCGGCGCCTCCGCTTCTGTAAACTTTGCACAGACCTATAGAAACCAGTTCCAAAGACCAACTCCTCCCGGAAGCTTGCCCTGAACAACGCCCCCCGCCCCCTCCTTCGGTGGAACAGCCCACTGTACGGAATTGGCGCTAAGATGGCGGCCTCCATGGAGGAAAGCCTCGGCACAGCCATGTTCCTCGCCCAACAACGCCACTCGTGGACAAAGTCCCTGCAGATCCGTAACTGCACCTTGCTCAGAGTGAGTAGACCACACAGCATCACAGCCATTCCGATGTGTGCGAGACCAACACCACAGAAGGGGCACTGTCAGGGGTGAGGACAGGAAACGGAAGTGGCCCTCAGAGGACGTTTAAGTCTTGTTGGCGCGCGGCGCTAAAGCGAGTGCACGAGGTTTTAAGGCGTGACAGTCATCAGTGATTTTGAGGTGATGGCTTTGTTGGCTTTTGGGAATGACGAATTGTCAGTTTGTAAGGTCCATTGGTGGGGAGTTGCAGAATGTGGTGAATGGGAATCTGTGCAGGTCAGGGATGGGGGTTTCTGGGATAGTCAGTTTTTAGATTCCTTGCTGCATCTTGTTGTCAAATCTTAATAGAGTGTGTTTAGGTTTTTTCCTTATCAGTCTCCCCAGAGGCGTGCTAATCTTACTAGTCTTTCCAAAGAACCAACTTTTGGCCTTGTCGATCCTCTCTGATGTACCTTTGTTTTCTATTTCTGTAATTTCTGCTCTTATCTGTACCACTAATTTAACTTTTTAAATTGGATATTAATTCATTAATGTTCAGCCTTTCTTCTTTGTTAAAAACCATTTAGAACATGAATTTCTCTTTAAGAATCTCTTTACCTGCATTCCACAAAATTTTACATACACCATCTTATTACTACTGAGATTTGTGTTTCTTTTCTATTATTTATATTACCTTAATAAAATGCATTTTGGAAGGGTTGACATTTTTATTACATCTTATCCAAGGATATGGTATATCTGTGTGACTATTTTATATTTGTCAATTTTTTTAATTGTAGAAGTCCAATTCCTTAAATACATTTTGTGTATTTCTTGCTGTCATTAGTAATGGTTTTTTTTTCCCCATTTTTATATGATCACTGCTGTTGTAGAGGGAAAACTATCTGCTCTTATAATTTTATCTGGTATCCAGCCCCTTTTCAAATTGCCCTATGAATGCTAGTAGTGTCTGTGTTTTCTTTGTATAAAATCATATCATTGGCAAAAGAAAGCCACATTTCCATTTCCTTGCAATATCCATTCTTACTGTTTCATCTTCCTTGGTGTGAGCTAGAGCCAGCAAAACAATTGTGAGTTCTATTAGACATCCCTATCTTGTTGATAATTTTAATGGCAATAGCTTCTTCATTTTACTTTTTAGCATAATAGTCCAGGGCTGTGTTTTGTAAATGATTTTTGTCGTATTTAAATGGGTTACATCTTCCCTAACTTTAGCTGGAGTTCTATTGGTAATGTCTCCTGAATAGTGTCAAATGCTTTTCTGGTATAAGTTAATAGCAACATGCCCCCCCATTTGTTGATTAATAAATATTATTAATGTGGAACCGTCTTCTGGAAAGAAGAGGCTAAGAGCTTCCTGTAGAAGAATTTAAGAGGGATTTTTCACCCTAAAATGGAAAAATAATTGAAGAGGGCAGAAGAGATACCTTTCATTCAGATTACCAGGTTTCCAAGTTTCCTGTCAGTCACCCCTCAGGTCCCCATCGACTTTAGCACCATTTGCTGCCCCAATTCTGCCCTCCCTGCAAACTCAGGTCCACCTTGAACCTAGAATTGAGGAATAGGCTGGCTAGGTAAGGTGTGAAGCTCCCTGTGGAGCCACCCCAGAATAAAGGCCTCTGAGGTCATTCATTTGACTTCAGATATCTTGATCATTTTCATAATCCGCCCTAACGCTCAGAGTGGGGGTTGCTGAACTTTGTGGTGTAAATGCGGAATGACACTGATCACACGGATGCTGTCCTTTTAGGATTTCTTGGTGTCTCTGTGGAGCTGTTGAGGTTTCTCCTTACTGGAGGCTGCGGGATCTTCCATTCATTCTGACCGCAGCCCATATACCGACTCCCCTCCAGCTTTGGAAGGTGGGCTGAGACCCAGGGTGAACATGTCAGCTAATAGGAAATCACCCCAGAGGTTCCCTGCTCTGGTTCCAGGACTGCCTGGCAGATCATTTGAGGTAAGGAGGAGGAGCCTACTTTAAAATTTTTTCTTTTTTTTAAGATAAATTTTTAAATTTTGAGATAATTGTAGATTCCAACGCAATGTACCATTTACCCAGTTTCCTCTAACGGGAACATCATGCAAAAGCCTTGGTATAGTATCACAACTAGGATATTGACATAGGGAACATTTCCATCATGACAAGGACCCCTCATCTTGCCTTTTAATAGACACAACCACTTCCCTCCTCCCCCACTCCCTCCTTAACTCCTGGCCATCACTGAGCTATAAGTTTGTCGTTTCAGGCATGACATATAAATGGAATAATACAGTATGTAACTTTTTGGGACTGGCTTTTTTTACACAGCATAATTCTCTGGAGATTCATGCAGATTATTGGGTATATGAATAGCTTGTTCCTTTTTATTGCTGAATAGTATTCCCTGGTATCAATGTACCACAGTTGGCTTAACCATCCTCTTGTTGAAGGACATCTTGGCTGTTTCCAGTTGGGGGCTATTATGAATAAAGATGCTATGATTTTTTGTGTAAGGATTTTGTATGAGACGAATGCATGTGAATGCAATGGCTAGATTGTATGCTGAGTGCATTTCAAACAATTGACTTAATTTTTTTTTTTACTACAACTTTAGATTTATAGAATAATTGAGAAAATAGTACATGTAGTTCCATGTACCACTCTCTGTCTCCTCCATAGTTTCCCCATGATTAATATCTTGCATTCGTGTAGTACATTGGTTACAATGAACTAATATTGTTATTAATTATAGTTATTAATACCCTGTTATTAATTATAGTCTATAGTAAGGTTCATTCTTTGTGTTGCGCATTCTTTAAGTTTTGACAAATGCGTAATAACATATATTCGCCATTACAGTTTCATACGGAACAGTTTTGTCTGTGCCTCAGCTGTTCATCCTTTCTCTCCCTAGGCTTGAACCTCTGTTTTTTTTTTGTTTTATTGTCTCTATATAGTCTTACCTCTTTTAAGGTGTCATATAGTGGGACTCATACAGTCTACAGCCTTTTCAGATTAGCCTCTATCACTCAGCAGTTTGCATTTTATTTATTTATTTTATTTTTAAATTTTTTTAAAGATCTTTATTTATTTTTTTGACAGAGAGAGAGGCAGAGAGAGGGAACACAAGCAGATGAGTGGGAAAGGGAGAGCAGGCTTCCCGCTGAGCAAGGAGCCCGATGTGGGACTCGATCCCAGGACCCCAGGATCATGACCTGAGCCGAAGGCAGATGCTTAACGACTGAGCCACCCAGGCGCCCAGCAATTTGCATTTTAGCTTCCTCCATGTCTTCTTGTGGCTTTATATCTCATTTATTTTTATCACTGAATAATATTCCAGCATATGGATGTACCACAATTTGCTTATCCATTCACCTATCGAAGGACATCTTAGTTGTTCCCAGTTTGGGGCAATTATGAATAAAGCTGCTATAAACATTTATATACAGGTTTTTGTGTGGACATATGTCTTCAGTTCACATGGATAAATAAGTAGGAGTGCAATTTTGGGTCATACGGTAAAACCGGCTTTGCAAGAAACTGTCAAACTGTCTTCCTAAGTTCTTGACCATTTTACATTCAAACCAGCAATGAACGAGAACATTCCTGTTGTTCCATATCCTTGTCAGCATTTGGTATTGTTGGGTTTTTGGATTGTAACCATTCTAATAGGGGTATGATGGTATCTCATCATTGTTTTGATTTATAATTCCCTAATGGAAAATGATGTTGAACATAGTTGTACATGTTCATTTGCCATCTGTGTATTTTCTTTGGTCAAATGTCTATTCAGAACTTTTTTCCTTTTTTTTTTTTTAAAGATTTATTTATTTATCTGAGAGGGGGCATCTGGGTGGCTTAGTCCTTTGGGTGTCTGCCTTTGGCTCAGGTCATGATCTCAGGTTCTGGGATCGAGCCCTGTGTTGGGCTCCCTGCTCAGTGGGGAGTCTGCTTCTCCCTCTCTCTCTACCCTTCCCCACTGCTTGTGTGCTCTCTTTCAAATAAATAAATAAATAAACAAACACAGTATTTTTGAAAGTAAGATTTATTTATTTATTTGAGAGAGAAAGAGCGCATGCGAGTACACACATGCACACAGCGTGCAAGTTGGGGAGTGGGAGGGAGGGAGGGAGATGAACAAGCAGATTCACACTGAACATGAAGCCTGACTTGGGGCTCGATCTCATGACCCTGAGATCATGACCTGAGCTGAAATCAAGAGTCAGATGCTTAACTGACTGAGCCACCCAGGAGCCCTGGATCTATTTCCTTTCTGTTTGTTCCACTGATATATTTGTCTATTCTTCACCCATACCATGCTCTTCATCTATCTATCTATCTATTTATTTATTTTGTTTTAGATTATTTATTTATTTGACACAGAGAGAGAGAGATCACAAGTAGGCAGAGAGGCAGGCAGTGGGGGGAGGGTAGCAGGCTCCCCGCTGAGCAGAGAGCCCGATGTGGGGCTCGATCCCAGGACCCTGAGACCATGACCTTAGCCAAAGGCGGAGGCTCAACCCACTGAGCCACCCAGGTACCCCTACCATGCTCTTTTTTTATTGAGGTCTCATTGACTTACAACATTATATTAATTTCAGGAGTACAACATGTGTACACCTGAACATATGTAAATATGTATAACATATGTACAACATAATCAATCTATATTTGCATGTGTTACAAAATGATCACCACAATAAGGCTAGTTAACATCCATCACCATGTACAGTTGTAGAATTTTTTCTTGTGATGAGAACTTTTAAGATTTACTCATAGCAACTTTTAAATATGCAATACAGTATAATTACCTATAGTTGCCATGTTGTACATTACATCCCCATGACTTTTTTTATAACTGTAAATTTGTATTTTTTTTAAAGATTTTATTTATTTATTTGACAGACAGAGATCACAAGCAAGCAGAGAGACAGGCAGAGAGAGAGAGAGGGGGAAGCAGGCTCCCCGCTGAGCAGAGAGCCCAATGCGGGGCTCGATCCCAGGACCCTGGGAT